CCCGCTCCTCAGACGGAGCTGCGGCGCTTCATGAGTCCCTGGAAGGCCGAGAGGCTGTGCAGGCCCGTGGAGACGGAGCTGATGGCCGAGCGCCGCGCGTGGCAGAAGCAGCGGCTGGGCGGCGTCTGCGCGTCGCGCCCGGGCGAGGAGTGGCTGCGCTCCACGCACGTGTCCGAGGTGGAGAGGTCGCGCGGGATGATCATGGGGATGGAGTACTGCAGCTTCTCCCGGCTCTTGTACCACAGGCAGGAGCACATGGACTGGAAGTGCAGCACCTCGGCGTACACGTTGCGCAGCCCCCCGCCGCCGCTGCCGCCGCTCCCCAGCGCCGCCGCGGCCGTGGCGGAGGCGGCGGGGCCGGCGGCGTGCGCGCTGCTGGCCTGCCCGTTGCGCGTGAGCAGGGCGCGGTGCTCGGCGTCGCGCTTCTCGTCCTCGGCGTTCATGGTCATGAAGCGCAGCACCACCAGGTTGAGGAAGGCGCCGATGACGGTCAGCCCGGTCAGGATGTAGATGAAGCTGAAGGCCACGTACTGCGGCTTGGTCTGCAGCGCCTGCTCCTTCTGCAGGGCCACGTAGTCCCCGAAGCCGATGGTCGTGAGCGTGATGAAGCAGTAGTAGTAGGCCTGGAAGAAGGTCCAGCTCTCGTAGTAGGAGAATGCCGCGGCGCCAACGCACAGCGTGCTGATGCACGAGAAGAAGCCGATGGTGACCATGTTTGCCATGGACACCTCCGGCCGCCGCATCCCCAGGCACTTCTTCAGGCGGTGCAGCAGGCACCTCACCACCGTGTTGATCCGCTCGCCCAGGCTCTGGAACATGACCAGCGTGAGCGGGATGCCCAGCAGCGCGTAGAACATGCAGAAGACCTTCCCGCCATCCGTGCTGGGCGCCGCGTGCCCGTACCCTGTGGCGGAGACACAAGCAGAGCAAGCAGGTCAGTGGCCGCGCCCTGCGCCGGCCCGGCGGGTGCTGGCACGTCCCCGCGCCGCCGGCGGGCTGGCCGGCCGGGTCCTCCTCTTCCGGTCCAGGCGCTCTGCTTCTGGTACAAGAGCCGGGAGAAGCCGCAACGCTCCGCCGCCATGAGGCCCCGGGAAAGCGCCCCAGCCCGGCCACAGGCGGAGCAGGCTGGTGCTGCCTCCCCCATGCGCGGGGAAGAGGCGCCCAGAGATTGCTGGGCGAGATGGGGCGGGGGCGGGTCTGCGGGGGAGGAATCATGCAGGGAGGGGCTGGGGGGGGAAGGCGACGTGGTGATGTGGGGGAACAGCAGGGCAAGCCGGTGGGCGGTGGGCTGCAGTGGCTCTGCTCCCCCACCCCGCCTCTTCGCGGCCCGGAAGCTGCACCCCGCAGGACGTCTTCTCGCGCGGCTTTTCCTCTCGTCAGGCGGGCTGGTGGCTGGGACATTCCTCAGACGCGAAACCGGCCACCTTGGCCAGGGACCTTCTGTCCCAGACTCCGGACTCAGGATGGGATGAGCCGTGCACGGAAGGAGATACAGATGTTCTTAGCCCTGTCACAGCAGCTGCAATTCCAGGCCAGCCAGAGACGTTGGAGGACGGCGCTCTGCTGGCTGCTCAGAAGGGGGACTGACCTTCTTGTTCTTGCAGTAGGAGTCAGTAATTGTTATAAGCAGCCACCTCGAAAGGGTATCGCACAGGTGACATTTCCTGACGTTCCTTCCACAGCCTCCCCATCCCCATCAGCGAAGGACACTCTGGCGCACGTCTGGGCCGCAGGACTCGAGGCCAGCCCCCTCCACCAACGGCTGCCCCCACTGCCCGTGGCAAGTCCAGGAAGGGAAGCCCCCTGAGAGCGGCTGCAGGCGTCCGGCTGGCTCGTTCTGAGCCGGGGCCCCCTGGACCGGCCGACCGTCAGCTGAAGCCCACTGTCGCGTTTCTCCTGGCCCAGGCACCTTTCACGGGAGGCCGGAGGGCCCCTGAAGACATGCAGTAAGGCACCCAGGGCCAGATTTTCAAACGCGCAAGGGCATGCATGGCACAGACCCTCCTTGCAGCGAGCTTGGCCCCCACCCAGCCATGGAAACGCCCACGATTTACTGCACAGAACATTTCAGATGTCGTCCGTGTTTCTCAAGGCTCCCTGGATCACCCTCCAACAACCCTGGAAGCGGCCCACCAGAGTGTCCCTTTCGCAGCGTGACAAGCCTCTTGCCCAGGGAGGGCCGGAGCCCCAAGGGGGCTGAATCCAAGCCAGCTACTCCCAAACCACAAGTCCGGTGATCTTTGGTTCACTCGCCCCGTCCTGCTGGCCACTGAGCGCCTCGGACCGGCCCTCCTCCCAGACCCTGCGCCTGCCCTTTGCACATGATCAGAGAGAGAAAGGCAAGAGATGAGCACCGTCACCCAAGGAAACCGGCAGCAGCATGAAAGGCCACTTCCGTTCTCTGCATCTCACGCGTGTCTCGAGCATAGCCGGGGTGACCGGCCCTCTGGCTGGAGCGCTGCAGCGAGGGAGGCCGTGGGAAGCCTCAGTCCTGTGTCAGGGCGGGTCCCCCAGCCCGTTTCCCCGTGTGGAAGAGGAGCCCGCCACCAGCGTCCAGAACACCTTCGCTCCGGGGGACCAGGGCACGAGCCGTGGAGCCCTTCCCCGCTGGGCCCCTGCAGGCTTGATCCGGGACGCAAACGGCTCTGCTTCAGAGCCTCAGCTGGGGCTGCCCAAGAGGAGGAGGGGAGCTGCCAGGCTAAGGCCCACGTGCCCACAGAGGAGGCCAATGGGCCCCAGCCGAATCGGCATCCTTCCCCCGCTGGCCAGAACGGCCTCTTGCTCCCGGCCAGTCGCCACTGAAGAGGGCTTGCTGGATCAGATCAAAGTGAGAGCAGGTATTTTTAGGATTGCAAGAGAAGCCTAGTTGCACCGGGGGGTGGGGGTGAGGCCCCATCGGGGAGGGTGTTCAAGGACAGGCTGGATGTGCACATGGTGGGCCTGTCATGAGCGGAGCCGGCTGGAGCCAGGGGTCAGACTAGATGGCCCCGGAGACCCTCCTGACTCGCTCTGTTCCTAAGTTTTTTCTAAATCTTTCCAGCCCCACCTGGAGATGTGTTGAACTGAACCCAGAGAGGCATATTCTTGCAAAGCCTTTGCTCTACCAATCAACTGCAGCTTTTCCCCTAATAAGAAAGCAAGCTTCCAGTCCTCATGCTTCTGAATAAAATGGTTTGAAGTGGAACACAGAAACTGCTTTACAAAGTTTAGGTCCATCAGTCCCAGAATTCTCCAAAGCAGTTACAACTCCCAGCATCTGCCTGGTGGAGCTCCAGGCAAAAGACTTTCTCAGTCCCCGCTGGGCATGCAAGGCTTCACCCTGGGGCCTTCTGCCTGCAGAGCTCCGGCCCTCACTGACTTCAGCAGGTCCCACGGCACTGAATGGGGCTCCCTTCTGTGCAGGCACATAGAAGATTCGTCCTTTACTCGGGCGGCACAAACGAGCTGCGACGGAAGTGGAGCGGACTATTTCGGGGAAGCTGCTGCGTTCCGAAGAGGAAAGCCAGCCTCTGAATACCCCCGCCCCCCGCATGGCCCTACTAAAAGATTACAGGAAGATAAATGGAAGACACTTCGGTGGGACAGACGTGGCACCGATTTGGTGCGGAACTTTTCCACGGTTGTGAGCCATTCCTTCTCGCCCGCTGTGCACTGAGTGCCTTTCCAGGGCGGCATTTCAGCAAAAAAGCACATTTGTCTGCACGCCAGCAGTGCGAGAGGCAGAGCTGCCATGCAAATTAAATTTTGGTGCGCCTTGCGATGACTTCTGTGCCCCCAGAAGCCAGAATCGGGGTTACTTCAGGCAGCTGCCTTCAATTGAACGTTATAATTACATTCAAATCTCCTTTCCTTTTTTCCTTTTCTGAACAGAGCAGAGCCTGTGAAACTGTGGAACTTGGTGTGTGTTTATTTAATCAGTGAGTGGCTATTACCAATTAGAGACACAATCTGCATCTGCTGTCACCTGGCAGCCGGAGCAGGAGCCCAGCAAAGGGCGCTTGACCCCAGAAGATTAACCCTTCACAAGACGCAGGGGTCTTTTGTCTTGAAAGAAAGGGGAGACTATAGAGGGGCGCAGAATTTGGGCTGGCATGCAGGAAGGGGGGAGGAACTGTTTTCTCCATCTGTTATGCCTGAGCCCAGAGGGGCCCTCCCGTGAGGCGGGGGGGTGGCAGATTCGGGGCAGGGCTCTTCCGACAGGGACGGCTCAGCTGCGGAGTCCCCTCCCACAAGATGGCGTGACGGAGCCCAATTTGGAGGGCCCTGGGAGGGGACCGGCCCAGTTCTTGGAGGAGAAGGGCTGCCGGTGGCTTGCAGTCTTGACGGCCTCATGCCCCCCCAGGACCAGAGGCTATGAGCCTGTGCACGCCGGCTGTTGGGGCGCATGGGCAGGAGGGTCCCGCCCTGTTGGCAGCTCACCTGACCCGCCCTGCACTGCCTGGAGTGGGGCAGCCCCTTCACAAGGTGGTGGATAAATGCCAGCAATGAGTACTAAGCAGGCTAAGCGGAGGAGGTTAACCAAACGTCCCGCCAGTTGGAGGAACCGGTGCGCGCCCAGCCGAGCGCTTGGGGTCTCGGGGAGCCGCACCATCTGGGGTTGGGCAGTTCGTCCGTCCAGCTCCAAGCTCCCTCCGCACCCCCCACAGCCCTGCTGGGCTCCCACCACTCCCGGCAGAAGCCAGCCGAGCCTAACTGGGGGGGGGGGGGTGCTCCCGCACGCCACGCACGGGCCGTGCTGCTGCGCTGATCGGGGGCCAAGGCTGGTCTGATTGGGGGTGGGCTCGAGGTCCAGATGCTTTGGGGACACCGGTTGGAAAGACTCTCGGACAAGTTGGCAACACGCTTCGGCGTCCCGCCATCCGGGAAATGGGCCAGTGGCCCCTTTGCCGAAGTAGCACGCAGGGGGGACTCGCTGCACGCACGCAAGGGACCGAGCGGGGCCGTGGGTGGGGACACGGGGGGGGTTCTGGGGAGCATGGGCCATGGAACCCTGGACATGAGCCCTGCACCATGTCGAGTTGAGCCGCTGGGGCAGCCCAGGGTCAAGCGGGCTGTTTGCTCACCTCGGAGATCCACTGGACAAACAAGAATGGGTGTGTGAGATGCTCACAATCAGCACCGCCAGAGCAAACGTGTGCAGACGTGAGAGGCAGAATCTGGCCCCACAGCCAAGGTCCAGTAGCTCCAACTGACGGACTCATTTCATTTTTATACTGCCCGATAGCTGACACTCTCTGAGCAGTGAGCAAAAGTTTTAAAACATTTAAAGCACGCGCACACACGTCAAAATTAACACGAAACAACAAAAGCAGACCAATTCCCATGGGGGCTCTGGGCTCGAGAGGCCCCACGCAGGCCCCAGCCAACTGAGGGAGGGACTGCCTGCTGACCCCCGGCCGATGATTAGAAATTTGCTCACAGACTGATCTCGGCAGCAAGGAAAATGAAAACCGGGCAATAAAGCAGCTTTCAACCCGTCCTGCAGTTACAAGGTGTAATTACAGATGGTTTTAAGCCCTAAGAGGATAATGCGACGTCAGCTGGGGCGGAAGGGGGAGGTGGGCGTGCGTGCGCATGCGTGCGGGGCTCGTGTGGGAGAGGGGGGTAATGAGATGTGCTGGGAAGAGCCATTCCCATGGGCTGCAGGCTCACAGTGGCTGAGTCAAGAATTCCCCAGGAGAAAAACTAGCTGGTTCCCAGACTCGGTTCATCTGAGTTTTGCTGCCTGGAAGGGCGTCTGCTCATCTTCCGCTTTCCTAGAGTCAAAGCACAGCCTCATAGCCTCAGCCCTGCTCCATGAATAAAGACACCCAGGGACCTTTGAGCAGTAACAGCTTCCCAGAGCACACCGGATCAGTGGAAAGTGACTTGCACCGCAAGATCGGGCATTTGTGCTGTA